GGCAAACTTAAGTTAGAGAACGGAAAGGAAAAATTCAGCAATTTTTCCATTTGTAAAGGGGCATAACTCTCGAATGGTTAAAGTGATGCCACCAAAATTCAAACTTGATCTGTGTTTTGTGGTAATAAGCATTGTGTATACGTTTCATAACATTTGGTTGAGGCAAACTAAAGTTAGAGAACAGAAACCAACTATGGGACGTACAGACAGACAAGGGTAAACTTAATGCCCCCTCTGCAATTGCGGGGTCATAAAAATGCTGCATTTCTAACGTGTATTATAGGTCCGCTTTGAAGTACCAAAGTTATAAATTGTCCTATTAGAATCGAAATAGTTCTATCATGCCTTGCTCGATGCTCATTATAACATAGGTAGGCATTATATTTGTCAACATTTTACACCTTGCTAATGCTCGGTATAAAGATATTGACAAATATAATGCCTACCCATGTTAAAATGAGCATAGAGCATGGTATGAAAGAATTATTTCTTAAATAACCAAATACAGCAAAACAGTTACCCCTCCCACTTTTTGGTTATTTGGTCGTTGCGCATGGCAAATGGTTAATGGTGATCAAAGGTGCTGTTCTACACATAATTTTGTGCTGACAAGGTTTATCATTCACCATTGGGCGGATGATCTATTTGTTGGATAGACCCTTAATTCTGAGAGTAAATACACTTTGATACTGAATAAGATGGCTGTGGAAATGCACACAACTGCTATGCTTGCACTATAAGCAATTCCTATACACTTACCAAAATAGAAAATAATAATCAGTTTTAGATATGATAATTTGGTTAGCAGATTTTAGCATACATTGGTATCCATCTTACAATAAAGTCAATTGACCAGTAGGGATTACCTTTCACTTATTCAAGTATACAATCATCATTAAATGGTTTAAACATTTATATAATTTAAAAAATGTAGTTGTTAATAAAACCTAGACTTGATCACATGCAATCAACCTTAATTATTGTACATGTAGGGTAAATAAAAGAACAGAGTTCCAATGTCCCCTGCGTTGAACATATTTTAAGACTCGAGAGCAATTTCAAATATATTTAATATTTCCAAAGGGCATAACTCATTAAAAATATTTGATCAGCACTTATTTTCGAAATTGTCCGAGACATTGCTGTTATAAACCTTTGATATGAATTTGACAAAAATCTAGCAAAAATTGTACATGTGAGAGCTCTTGCAATGCAAATTTCCATATATTTATATTTCTAAGAGGCATAATTCTTTTAAAAATAATTGGTTAGCACTGATTTTCGAACCTGTCCAAGGCATTACTAATATAAACCTATGATATAAGTTTCATAAAAATCTGGCGAGAATAGGCGAGATAACAAGACCAGACAGACACATGGTGCGGAGGACAAATTAAGATTCCCCACATTTTTTGTATAATCACTGGAATCTTACTGAAACAATAATAAAATGCTCCGCAGGGCGCAGCTTGATACGACCGCAGAGGTCGAACCCTGAACAGTTGGGGCAAGTATGGACACAACATTCAAGCTTGATACAGCTTTGCATTTGGATTGTGATTAAATATTTGACACAGCATAGGTTTCTGACACAGAATGAATGTGGTCTAAGAACTTAAAAATTTTAAATTGGACATTCACCTTTTATGGTCTAATATCCAAAATCTAAATAAATGGTTAGATTCAGCATATCAAAGAACCCCAAGAATTCAATTTTTTATGAAATCAAACAAAGTTTAATTTTGGACCCTTTTGACCTCAATGTGGACAAAGTTGATAACGGGGCCCAAAAATCAAAAATCTAAATACATGGTTAGATTCAGCATATCAAAGAACCCCATATATTCAATTTTTGTTGAAATCAAACAAAGTTTAATTTTGGACCCCGATTTGGACCAACTTGAAAACTGGGCCCATAATCAAAAATCTAAATACGTGTTTAGATTCAGCATATCAAAGAACCCTAAGAATTCAATTTTTGTTAAAATCAAACTAAGTTTTATTTTGGACCCTTTGGACCTTAATGTAGACCAATTTGAAAACGGAACCAAAAATTAAGAATCTAAATACACAGTTAGATTCGGCATATCAAAGAACCCAAATAATTCAATTTTTGATGAAATCAAACAAAGTTTAATTTTGGACCCTTTGGACCTCAATGTGGACCAATTTAAAAACTGGGCCCAAAATCCAAAATCTAAATACACGGTTAGATTCAGCATATTAAAGAACCCCAAGGATTCAAGAATAAAACCCCATTGAAATTGGTCAAGAAATAAGCAATTTATACGAAGTATCTTCTTTTGCACAATACTAGTTGCTATTGCGCAATACTGTACAATTGACAATTTCTTGCTATTGCGCAATATTGTGCTATTGGATATTTCTTGCTATTGCGCAATACTGTGCAATTGAAGATTTCTTGCTATTGCGCAATACTGTGCAATTGAAGATTTCTTGCTATTGTGCAATACTGTGCAATTGAAAATTTCTTGCTATTGCACAATACTTATTATATAATAATTTTCACATCCTGTTTGGTGTGTATCTCCTACCATATCATTATTATTTGCTTTTAAATATAAATCAGAAATAACCAACTTAAAATGGAAAATTTTAAAAGAAAAAAAAAAAGGAAAAAAAAAGGAAAAAAAAAAAATCCCCCCCCAAATTTTTTGAACCCTCTTATGATTCATCACCCCCAAACTTAATCCTCACCTTCCCTTTGTGGTATGGTACCTTGCAGTACAATTTCAGAGAGATCCATACACTTGAACACAAGTTATTGTCTGGAAACTAGAAAAATGTGTTTTTTGGCCCCTTTTTGGCCCCAAATTCCTAAACGTTTAGGGCAATTACCCCCAAACTCAAACCCAGCTTTCCCTTTGTGATATGGAAACTTGTAGTACAATTTCAGAAAGATCCATACACTTACACACAAGTTATTGTCCTGAAACTAGAAAAATGCTTGTTTTTTGCCCCTTTTTGGCCCCTAATTCCTAAAATATTGAGGCAATTACCCCCATCATCAATCCCAGCCTTCCCTTTATGGTATGGTACCTTTCAGTACAATTTCAGAGAGATCCATACACTTGAACACAAGTTATTGTCTGGAAACTAGAAAAATGCTTATTTTTGGCCCCTTTTTGGCCCCCAATTCCTAAACGTTTCTGCAATTACCCCCAAACTCAATTCCAGCTTTCCCTTTATGATATGGAACCCTGTAGTACAATTTCAGAAAGATCCATACACTTACACACAAGTTATTGTCATGAAACTAGAAAAATGCTTGTTTTTTGCCCCTTTTTTTGCCCCTAATTCCTAAAATTTTGAGGCAATTACCCCCAAAATCAATCCCAGCATTCCTTTTGTGATATGGAACCTTGTGGTACAATGTCAGAGAGATCCATACACTAACACACAAGTTATGTCTGGAAGTTACAAAAATGCTTATTTTTGGCCCCTTTTTGGCCCCTAATTCCTTTACTGTTGGTACCATAACCCCCAAAATCAATCCCAACCTTCCTTTTGTGGTATTGAACCTTGTGGTAAAATTTCATAGAGATCCATTCACTTAAACTAAAGTTAGAGTGCAAAAACCAATGTGTCTTCGGACGACGTCAGACGATGACGACGACGGCGACGCCAACGTCATACCAATATGTAAATTAAACGACCACAAAAATTTTTTTGCGGCCGTATAAAAAGGTTAAAGGCCTTATTTGGTCTACAAATTAAGATTTACAGAACCGCATGAATATTTCAGCAAAAAGCATCACTAGGTATATGCAGTAACTGTCTTAAATCTTAAGTTTTTCAACTATTATGAATATTCCCCATGATTTAAAGATTACAGTTTTATTGAAATCTGATCATGAGATGTCCATGCAAACACATGGATATTGAACCAACTGACCTAGAAATGTAGATGATGTGAATGAGCCAAATTTTTGCTAACTGGCTCTAACATGTTATTAGTACTATGTACAAATGATGTACATACATGTATGAGTGAGTTACAAGTGCAAAAATATTGGATGCAAAGAACATAATTTTTTTTTTTAAGTGTCTACACCCAACACTGGGTCGGTCTTTTCACCACCGAACACCACCGCACACCGCCGAACATCCAAAAAGACCACTAACTCTTAAGAAAAACAGAAATGTTACACAATAAGACAATAAAATCGATTAAATTACGTAAAATTTAATTCTTTTGTCATGTTTTTCACATTTTTATGTGCATTAGTGATGTTAAGTTGAGAATCAAAATGAAAAAAAACGCTTCCGAATCCAGCAATATTTTTTCCGGATTTACATTGTCTGTATTTCATTGTATATTATCTTATGGTCTTTACTTTTCAATTATTAGAAATAAATCGTTCAAATAAGTTTAAACATTTTATTTAATGTGAAATTATCACAATAATTATATTTTAAAAAAATGTTAAGACTTGAAAGTGTACTGTTCTGACAACAGCCCTTCAAGACTGTTCTTTTTGGTTCTCTTGTTATCATTTCTGATTAATTTGTGTATATATATATGTATAAACATATTCATCCTCGTTCAGAAGGTAAGTCAAATATATAAATATAGATGAAAACAATATATTTGGGTGTGTTAGATGGAATTTTAATGTGTTCGGTGGTGTTCGGCGGTGGTGTTCGGTGGTGAAAAGACCTACCACCCAACACCTACAGAATACACTCCCTACCACAATGTCAAACATTATTTGTCAAAATAAATTAAAATGCTGACAGTGAAAACAGTTTAAAGATAGGTCAATCTTTTTTCAGTTGCAGTTCAATGTACATGTAACAGTTTTAGTAAAATGGGACTTTGAATGAATGGGACCGATCATGACTGAGATCATGTCATTCACAGATGTCTTTAAAACATCAGAGATTATAATATCTCGTTAAATATTATTGCAAAGCAGCTTAGATTAGATAATATATCTTTTGAATAATAATACGACTGAAATAAAACAAATACAAACTTCATCAGATGCCATTCTTTCTTGTTGACGTTTTCTTCTTCTAAGGGAAATAACAACAGATAAACTTCCGGTTTTCATGCATCCGGGACCGTCTCAAGATACACAATTTTTTTTAACGCGTATCAGAAATTTAATTAATGTTTAAATTACATTAAATCAATCATTACGAGTAGAATAGAATATTTTATTTTCCAAATTACAGGGCCCATCAACAGCATACAAATCAAGTACAATGATTGAAGTAATTGAGTCAACAATAAGAAATAAGAAGTAGCCTATGTAATCAAAAACTAAAGTCATATTTTGCAGGGACTTTCTATACTAACTATACATAGTATAGACTGTCCTTGTATTTTGCAACGAAAATACATTTCATTATCTGAACAGTTATGAGTTTTATAAATTATCTGAGCTATCTGCTCTAAAGACTCCAAGGTTTGACTCACTGGTGCCAGTTGCCAGTTATAGTCTGTTAATGATCCAACTCTCTGCTGAAAAATCACCTGATGTTATTATTGGTAGTGCAAATTAACCTCTCTTGTGATGAAACTGTTAAACTTTAAAGTGAAAATATTCCAGTTTTAATTTGATAGCCATATCAATTGTAAGAATTCATGATCACGGTAAAAAGTCCGTACGACAGTTGAACACTTTAAAGCGTATTGGTCATAAATCGAATAAACTGAGTAGGCTCATTATCATTCATACTTTAATAGTGTCGAATTTAAGTTGTTGCCCATTATCTTGACATTTTGACAGGTTCAGAAGTCGAATATAAAGAAAGTGAAATCATCTTATTATTCAAATCCTTGAAAAAATACATGAGTTAGCCTCACGATTTGTGCGCTGTGTAATGATCACATGAATATCTGTTGTGAAATAAAAGGCAACTGGAGTGTACCGATGTTCGAAACTCGTAAATCCATTTTTCAATATATAGATAAGGATAATCCAAAAAAATAACTTTCACCAGGAACGCTCAAAACCTAAAATTTTGAAAGTCAATGATGTAAATAGTTGAGAAGCTACATGATTAAACTGGGCCTAAAAAAATACATTATTGAAAAAAAAACAACCATGGACATTAACTCAAGGAACGAATTTAGGAGAGTCCTATAACCATAAATCTGCATGTATATTGATTATATCCATTTATTTTGTAACCAGCTTTTTTAGTTACCCTTGAACATTTTGTTAAGGTTATATAGTCTTAAACATATTATATTTCTGTCCAAGTATAAGATAGCTACAAAAACGTACTTCACATAGATTTGTTTCATTAATAATCTATAACCTCAATTACACTTACTGTTTTTATATATTTTACTTTTTGGAAGTTATGTAGGGTTAACTTCTGACTTAACTCAAGTATAGGCAGTTTCCAGTATGATAAAATGCATGCATTTCAGGAATACTATATTGCCATAATTTTCGGATAAAAGTTCGGACCAACTACAGAAGGAATAGTACATTGAGCCGACAATAGCAAATTTTACCACGACCTAGCCCTTGTCATTTAGAGACTGCACGAAGGTAACAGAAGCAAAACGAAGATATAATAAAGATATAGCCGAGGTTATACGTTAAGAAATTAGAGAAAGCAGCGCTACAGATCAGAGAAAAACCAAAGGATAAGAAATAGATAGTGTTGAAGGTTCTGGAAGGAAAAAGCAGACATCTTCCATCTGGACTGAAAAAGTACACATGCAAACAAGGCTTAATAGACACTTGTTTTACAAAGGGTAGATTGTGCTGTTACAGTGTCTTAGCAATTGATGTGTAAATAGAAAACAAGTTGCTTTCTTTAAAAAAAGAAATGCAATCGTAAACCCAAATGCTTGTTTTGCATTAGATATAAGATAATTGTTTAAAAAAAGATTGATTGTTTTATATCATTTTTGTTGTATAAGAATTAGAAACTGACAGTGACTGTTTACTTAAAGTAAATACTGTTCAATGTGGGGTGAAATATTCTTGTTAAAGGAATATTTTTTTTCTCCTCTCTTCCGAAAGACATCATGTTAATTAAGTCACCCACTTGATGTTCCATTCTAAGATGCTGGTTTTTGTTTTTAAATTAGAGTTAGTTTTTAGGCTAAAGTTCAAATGCAAATGTGAACAAATTTAATCAAAAAAGATTATATGTGTTTAAGAAATGCAATATGTGAACCTGTAAAATAGCCGTTTTTATTGGAATTTGAGATACGTCCATGGTTATTTGAACAATGGCTTGATATTGATCATTATTAAGATCCTTACACCTGCTCTTCAAGGTTTTTTTATGCTTAGGGTAGCAAGCATTGGCAATTTTAAGTTCTGTGCTTTGTGTATGCTCTTAAAAGTTTTAGATGACAAACCTCTTTTGTTAAAAACAAACACTTTTAAAACCTTTAACTCGCTTTGAAGATATTTTCCGGATGTCCCTTTTTATTTTGATGTTTTCTTATATTTTAAATTGTGGGTCATGAAAAAAAGCCTGCAAGTTTAATTGTAAATATATACAATTTGAATCGCACTGTATCCTCTTCACCTTGATGAACGAAACCAACTCATTAAAAAAGATATTTATAGCCTAGACAAAACAGCTTACACCTTGTACTTATAAACAAACAAACAAAATTGAAAACAACAAAAAAACTAACATGGTCAAACCTGAAATTACCACTGATCAGTATACCCATCACCTAAATATGAGTTTGTTTAAAGGTCACATTAATGAACTGTTGTAAGGTGTTCCTTTTTGTCGAGCCTTCGAATTTAGTCGAAAAAGCGAGACAAAGCGATTCTACATTCCGTCGGTGTCATCGGCGGTGGCGTCCACAAATATTCACTCTGTGGTTAAAGTTTTTGAAATTTTAATAACTTTCTTAAACTATTCTGTATTTGTACCAAACTTGGACAGAAGCTTGTTTATGATCATAAGATAGTATCCAGAAGTAAATTTTGTAAGAATAAAATTCCATTTTTCCGTATTTTACTTATAAATGGACTTAGTTTTTTCTGCTGGGAAACAATACATTCACTCTGTGGTTAAAGTTTTTAAAATTCTAATAACTTTCTTAAACTATCCTGGATTTGTACAAAACTTGGACAGAAGCTTGTTTATGATCATAAGATAGTATCCAGAAGTAAATTTTGTAAAAATGAAATTCCATTTTTTCCGTATTTTACTTATAAATGGACTTAGTTTTCTGCTGTGATACAATACATTCACTTCGAGGTTAAAGTTTTTTTTAAATTTTAATAACTTTCTTATACTATCCTGGATTTGTACCAAACTTGGACAGAAGCTTGTTTATGATTAAAAGCTAGTATCTAGAAGGAAATTTTTTGTTAAAATTTTGTACCTGTTTATGTGTATTTTACTTATAAATGGACTTAGTTTTTCTTCCAGTTAACATTACATACAGTCTGAAGTTAATTTTTTTTAGATTTATAAACTATCCTGGATTTTTACCAAATTTGGACAGAAGCTTCTTAAAATAAAAAAAAATAGTATTGAGAGGAATATTTTTATTGATGTTTTTGCCTCATTTTTGTTGAGCCTGCGATTTACAGCAAAAGTAGGCGAGACACTGGGTTCCGGGGAACCCTTTCCTTTTTTTTTTATCTGAACACGATTTTTTCATTAGATATTAAAGGGTGTCTTTTACATGGTAAAATTACACTACTGTCTTATGGTATGTATGTAAATTCTTTTAAACCAGGTGTATTCATAAGCACATGTCCCACGTCCGAAGCATGTTGTTTAGTGGTTGTCTTTTTTTGGTGCAGTTCATATTTGCTTTTTGTTTCTGGTTTGAAGTTAAATTAGATCTGTTTGTTTTTATACGCCCGTTTACGGGACGTATTATGGTATACCGTTGTCCGTCCGTCTGTCCGTCCGTCCGTCCGTCCGTCGTCAACATGTCGGACAGTAACTCTAAAACACTTTAACCAATTTGCATGAAACTTTGGTGAATTGTATATATCTATTGACGTGAGCTCCCTTTCGATTTTTATAAATTTTAGATTTTACGTTTCCGAGTTTTGGGGTTTTATTCATTAAAAAAGGGGGGATTTTTTTAGTTTTAGGACAATTACTCAAGAATGCTTTCACCATATTGCAAGAAATTTTGGTGAATTGTTTATATCCATTGACATGAGCTCCCTTTTGATTTTTATATTTTTATATTTTATGTTTCCGAGTTACAGGGTTTTATTCATGATTTCCCCGTTTTTGGACATTAACTCAAAAATGCTTTCAGCAGTTTTCATGAAACTTTGGTGAATTGTTTATATCTATTGATGTAAGCTCCCTTTAGAATTTTATAAATTTTAGATTTTACATTTCCGAGTTATGGGGTTTTATTCATTAAAAAAGGGAGGATTTTTCCAGTTTTCGAACAATAACTCAAAATGCTTTCAGCAATTCTCATGAAATTTTGGTGAATTGTTAATATCTATTGATGTAAGCTCATTTTTGATTTGTTTATAGTTTGACAATAGATTTACTAAGTATTGGGCAACAGCACAGTGTATTGCACAACAGCAAGAAATCTTTAATTGAATATAAATTCAATTCATATAACCAATTTCAAGTTCTTTGACTACATTTATTCAGAAACCTATAATATGTCAAATATTTAATACAATCCAAATTCAGACCTGTATCAAGCTTGAATATTGTGTCCATTTTTGCCCCAACTGTTCAGGGTTGGACCTCTGCGGGCGTATCCAGCTGCGCTCAGCGAAGCAGTTTATTTCCTGTTTAAATTGTTTTATAACAGTGTTTTGGGGCCCTCGGTAGGATGCTGTCCAAAGTGAGCCAAGCTTTTGTGTTGAAGGCTGAATTATAACCTATAACTGCTAATTTTGACTACACTGTGTTTTGATGGAGAGTTGTCTTCCTTCCACATTTAAAAAGATATTCCTTGACATTTGACAAATCCATTAGAATAATCGAGATATTGAAATTGAACTGAAGTTGCCTAGTAGGTTTCTTACATTGACCCGGCTATCCTTTGTCTCTCTTGCTGGATAGTTTTATACTGGTCATTTTGGGGCACTATGTAGCCTAC